GCCATCTTCGATGGAATCGGAGTAACTTGACTGGAGAAAACATAGCACTTGCGAAAGATCACTGATTTGAGAACGCACGTCGAAAGCGGCAACTACACTTACGCGAGATTCACGCACAATCGCAAATTCGGCAGCCGACTGCTGAGAACCGTTGGTGTGACAGCAACGAGACAATAAGCACGATAGTTCACTCTCACGACGTTCGGTAATTTCGATTACGAGAAATCACGAGATTCGCGAAATCCGAAGATCCGGCTCGAAGGACCAGCAATGATTGCGCGAGTTATTTAAAGTTTTTCAAAGCTCCCGGGATTTGCACATGAACTGTATGAGAATCCACGGTCTCACTGGAGACATCGAAATTAATCGAAAGGTAGGATAGAGGAAGGATGAAATATCAGTGCTTAAGAGATGACAAAAATGAGTTGATCGTTTAAGAGTTTATTTGAGATACACAATTGAGATGGAGACAAAACTGAGTTCGAGACACGTAGCCTTCGCGCGACAACCTCGCTTGATCATAGCCCAGCTCAACTAACTGTTGATGATGTGCCGAGAGAAAAGAATTCCCCGTTGTAAGGGTGAAAGGGGAAGCTGGTCGTATGTTTACTTGAGTGCGAATCAGCTGATCGGAAGCTGATCGCCAGCTGATCGGCAGCGAAAAACAACAAGGAATGTCACGGTCGCGGCATCGTAACGAAATGAGACTCGAAAATAATATATTTATCACGCTGAAATAATTGGCTATACAAAGACGTGAAATATAACTAAAACGATCGAAAACTTTAATGCCGAAATATAAGATTAATTGATATGTGATAATTTTCACTTTGTCGAACTCCAAACAATTTCTTTGAATCAAACGTCCGCAATCTTCGCAAAATCGCATAATTTTACAAACACCAACGTATTACGATTTATCATTGTATGATTTTGCCGTGCGATGACGCTCCAAGCAGGCATAATTGAAAAATTCACGTCTACAATTATTGCACCTAATACGATCCGCGAATGATTGCTCACACGGCAGCTCTCCGTTATATCGCGGACATTTATTAGAGCATCGATGCTCTCTCACATCGGAGCGGTAACTTAAATTACACGGGATGCAATATCCCCGCCCGCCTGCTGCTGCATTTAAATTTAAAATTACATTGAAATGTTTATTATTTGAACGGTATAATAGATTTAGACAAGTTTTTATTTAGACCAAAAGTATCGTCGTTATATATTATTATTGCGACATTTTCGCTTGCGAGATATTGCTGAAAACGCTCGATTTCAACAATTCCACTTCCTTCCTCCGGAATCGTGACACCGGCATTTCTCGTAAGTTGCAACGCTACCTCGCGCTGTAACACCAAGTTTTATCTTCTCACCGCATTCCATTTCGCGTGTAACTCTCTCACGCGTAAATTTCCACGCTCGTTAAAAATTAGAGCTGATACAAGCGCGCGAGGAAGACATAAATTATCGGTATTGGAAATTGTTAAAATCGAGCGTTTAGCATAACATCAAGCGTAAACCCGTTACGTCCGTGACCAATGAGAGGGGTGACTTTAAAAATGCGAATGTTAAATTCTTGCGCTATATCGTGTCCTCCGCAGCTTTGCGCTAACGAGCTTACGAGTTCCCAAATATTTTTGTAAGTCAAATCTCGCGAAGGTCGGAACGATATACCTGCGCGGCCGCGGGTTAAACTTACGGAATTAAAAGACATACCGACGTAATCCCTCAATTCGCACAAATGCAACGCGTACTTGTGAAGTTCGCGAAAAGCATTTTCTAACCACTCATACGCGTTTGCTCCTTCGGGTATCGGCCGAATACGAAAACTAATTTCTCGTCTTTCTACACCAAAAGTTCTAACCCGACGCACGTTTTCCGCTAACATTATTATATATCTAAAATTACCATCTACCACTTGATTCTGTCTCGCTACTTCTTCCTCTGCTTCTTCTTCTTCTTCCTCTTGTCCAGCAGCCGCTAATTGTCGCTCTTCGGCATCGACGGGAGTTTCCTCACCGAAGCGGGTTTGAGAATCTTTGGTGTATTTCGACGTTCCTTCCTCTGCCACTCTGTACTGTGAGAAATAAAAAATTATATTAACGAAATAAAATATTTAATAAAATATTACTCTCTTACGTTTGAATTTTTATTAATAATGTGAAATTGTTGTTATTAATGATTATATTAAGTTCACTTACATTTTAATATTCTTTTATCGGGCCATTTGTATCACCTTGCGAGGGTTAATACTCCGGTGAATATGAAACTTTGGGAACAATGTTAGGAGAGAAAGAAATTTCTAATAAAATTTTATTTAATTAAAATAAAAAATTTAAACGTAGGAGAAGATTAAGTATAAAATATGCAATTATTACCTTCCTCAGCCATCACCCCGCTATTTTCTTCTTCTTCTCTTCTTCTTCAGCAAACGTGGCGTTATTTTCATCTCCCATTTCTTCTTCTTCTTCTTCATCTCCCGTTTGTTCTTCTTGATCTTCCGGCTCTTCTTCTTCATTTTCCGTTTGCTCTATTTCTTCTTCTAACTCTTCATCTTCCTCTTTCTTCTCCTTCTCCTCCTCCTCCTCCTCTACCCCCTCCTTCACCTTCTCTTCATCTTCCGAAATCAAGTTTATTTCCTCGTCGATTTCTTCCTCCTGTTCTCGCTCCTCTACAACCACGTTTTCATTCGCTACGTTATCTAATATCCATCAGTCGTATATTATTAGTATTTCACATAATTAAAAAATCTTTTGTGTTGATATACCACTGTAGTATTTTTCTTACTTACTTTCAAGCGAAGTAAATATGTCCACCTCATCGAACAGACTTACTTCGCGAACCCGCACTTCTTCCACGTCATTGACACTTTCGACTAAATCAATAACCGGATGTTCCAGCTCCGACGTTAACACGATGCGTGCACGGCCAGGAACGTAACATTTTTATTAAAAAATTTCTTGTTTAATATTGTGTTTTTCAACAGCACGATATAATTTATGATGTTAAAAACTTACACGAAGGTCTGGGCTCCGGCGAAGAATCCGCTCGTCGTCTTCTATTTAGCCTCAATCTTAGTAATACGGGACGATTCTCCAGTACACACAACCGGTTTCTTGTGACGTGTGCGACAGGTCGTACGATACCTAAAGTTTTAGCGATTTTAATAAATAAATAATTGAGGTAGTTTTAATTAATTTATTTATAATTAAGTGTAATAAAAATAGAAACTCACCATTATTATCTTCTCCTCGCAGAACTCGATGAAAATGTAGGAGAAGATATGTGGCCTGCTGTATCGTTTTCCTTCTCACTACCGAAATAGTATCGCGACTCGATCGCCTCTCCCGCGATAATCAGTAATTCGCGAAAAATACTAAAATGTCCTAGTCGGAATAATACCGCTAGCACAGCGCTGGGATATTCCCTCGCGAATTTCCCAAAAATATTGAAGCATTTCTCTTCACTCGCGCATGCTAATTTATATATATGCTTGGAAAAATTTTTTCCGCATAAACTCTGCGCTAGTGATAGACAAACTTCAACTACTTTTTTCAAACTCATTATTGAAATTTAATGGTACACTTGCGTCGAATACGTGAGTACACGAGAGACGAAATTCAAAAATGTAACTAACTAACTTAACCCCGAGAGCCGTATTTATATGTTTGAAGAACACCTCCTTACGGTGTGGGAAATTTCTCAGTTTTATAATGTTTAAGTTTATTAAACAAAAAAAAATGATAACGCCTCTTTTCCCGAAACATTGCCTGATTTTTTTCTAACGTATAATAATATAAAATAGCTATAAGTAGTTTACGAGCATTCTAGCAGGAATTTACAATTTTATTTTACATTTTCGTCTGAGCCAACACCGCGAAATTTTATTTACCTCTTCATTAACGCCGGCGCTCCGATTTTAACATAAGAATCCGCGCGCATCAGACTGATGTCACTCCCGGTGTCGATTAAAGCCGATAGGGTAATATTTACTTAGATACAGAAAAGATTTAATCTAGGGCGATATTTACTTAGCTACAAAAAGTTTATGGAAATCAAAATGAGGAATTTTCAGGTATCTTTTCTCGATTTTATTTTATTTTATTTATTTTTTTATCTTTTTTTCTCATAGCCGTGTATTTTTACCTATGTTTTATATATATATATATATATATATATATATATATATATAATATATATATGTGGGATGGAGCACGGCTTTCTGTCCGCTCCACCCGTTATATTGTTTTGCGAGGGTTTTCGACGGACCTTGGCGACGCCCGTGAAAACTCGGGCGTGTTGACGCGATCGCGAGCGACCCGGCAGTCGGGAAAAGACCGTGCGAGAGAACACATAGAAAAGATTGTGACGACTGCCGTCGAGGCCAAATATATATATATATATATTCATTCCTTCAAAATTCTGCAATAAAATATCTATATTACATTTTATTTATGGAAAAACAACCATTTCTGGATTTTCCATCGAACCTAGTCAATTCATATCCCACAAGTAAATTTTGGGAACTCGTCCGGGATTACGCATCGGATGGAAGGAGGCGGGTTTGAAGGTGGTGTAATGATGAGCGACGGCGGAACCGCACGGAACGATGGAGCGAGAGACGTTGCGCAGGCGGACGCTATGACAATTGTCCAGCTTAGAGACGAGTTAAGACGACAAAAATTAAGGACGACAGGTAACAAAGCTGATCTGGTGGAGCGGTTTCGGGCGGCGGTGTTTCTCGAGGGTCAGGAGGACGGAGACGAGAGTAGCGACGACGGTGGTGTGCGCGGTCAGGTGGATTGCGAGTCTGGTGATGAGTCGGAGCTCAGTGATGCGTCAGAGGATGGCCGGAGGCAAGGGCCGTCGCAGGAGCCGTTACGGAAACGTGAGAGGTGTTTATTGACATTTAAAGACGTTGAAGATGCTATCGATACATTCAGCGGTGATGATGGCAAGAACGTTAAGCAGTGGATCAGAGATTTTGACGAAACAGCAAGCCTGTGTCTGTGGAACGACGTGCAAAAGACGATATATGTAAGGAGACTTTTGCGTGGATCAGCGAAGCTATTCGTAAAGTATGAAGCACGAAGGAAGACGTGGAAGGACATCAGAACTGTCTTGAAGCGCGAGTTTTTCCAGAAGACCAATAGCCACGATGTACATTTTCAATTACAAAGGAGGAAGAAGAAAACTGATGAGACGTATCACGAATACTGCTATCAGATGTTGGAAATCGCCTCCAGGGCGAAATTAGAAATCAGCGCGGTAATACAATATATAATAGATGGTATAGCGGACGATGAGGTAAATAAAATTGTTTTGTACGGCGCGAGAAGTATTTCGGACTTGAAACATAAATTAGATATATACGAAATAATGAAAATTAGATCTAGGCATTCCAAGACGGAGGATCGGAAAAGGAAATTTATACGCGCGGAAAACGATAGTAAGCAAATTGATAAACGGTGCTACAATTGCGGCGATAAAAATCATTTGATCGCGGAATGCCCGGTGAAAGGAAAAGGCGTTAAATGTTTTCGATGCGGCACACACGGACATGTTGCTGCTAAATGTCCTACGGTAGAGAACAAACAGACGAATAAAGAAAAAAACTGTAACGCGACGCAGGGTGAGACGAAAAGTTGTTGTAAAACCGTTGCGATAAACTCGGTCGAGTTATCGGCTTTAATCGACACCGGGAGTGACATCAGTCTGATGCGCGCGGATTCTTATGTTAAAATCGGAGCGCCGGCGTTAATGAAGAGGTAAATAAAATTTCGCGGTGTTGGCTCAGACGAAAATGTAACATTAGGTGAAGTATATGTTAGCGTTTGTGTAGACGGATGTTTTTTCGGCGTAACGTTTCACGTGGTCCCTGATGCGCTGTTGCAGCACGCGATTCTTATCGGAACAGATTTTTTAAATAATGTCGAGTTGCAAGTAAAAGAAGGTGTCGTTAAAATTTCAAAAACTGCTGAAGCATTTTCCGAATTGCCTGCTGTAAACAGGATTGACCTTGGCGATGAAGTAAACGATGTAAACATAGAGCACATTATAGATCGAGAGTGTAAAGACGAAATAAGAGGAATAATATCGAGTTATAAACCCGAGAAAATTCGAGACGTAGGTATTGAGCTAAACATTGTGCTGAAGGACGAGACTCCTGTATACCAGCGTGCTCGTAGGCTGGCTGTACCCGAACAGAGGACGCTTGACGAACAAATACACAGATGGTTAGACGAGGGCATTGTTCAACAATCGTATTCTGATTATGCCAGCCCGGTCGTGCTGGTTAAGAAAAAAATGGTGCTACGAGAGTATGCGTTGATTATCGGAAACTTAATGAGAAAATAATAAAAACGCGGTATCCTTTACCAATTATAGAAGACCAGATTGATCGTTTGCGAGGAGCTAAAATTTTTAGTACAATAGATCTCGAGAATGGTTTTTTTCATGTTCGCGTGGCGGATAATAGTCGCAAATATACGGCATTTATAGTTCCAAACGGTTACTACGAGTTCTTGCGCATGCCTTTCGGTTTAAGTACGTCGCCAGCATATTTTCAAAAATACGTCAACGCAGTATTTGCTGACTTAGTGGCAAAAAATGTCGTGTCAATATATATGGATGACTTGATTATTCCATCAAAAAATTGTCAAGAAGGGTTATTACACTTAAAAGAAGTATTACAAGTAGCAAGTTCGTACGGGTTGAGGATAAATTGGAAGAAATGCCAGTTTTTGAAAACTAGAGTAAATTATCTAGGATTTATTATAGGAGACGGAGACGTTACACCTTCCGACGAAAAAACTAACGCGGTAAAATATTTTCCAATACCGAACAATAGAAGAGCGGTGCAAAGCTTTTTAGGGTTGACTGGCTATTTCCGAAGGTTTATCCCGAGATATGCATCTGTTGCACATCCTCTGACCGAATTGTTAAAGGAGGGAGTTAAATTTTGTTTTGGTGACAAAGAAACGCGCGCGTTCGATCAGTTGAAGGAAGCTTTGGCGAGAAGACCTATTTTACGAATCTATTGCCCAAACGCGGAAACGGAGCTGCACACGGACGCCTCGTCACAAGGTTACGGGGCTATTTTACTACAAAGAGATAGCGAAGATCGTCTTTTTCATCCGGTGTACTACGCAAGTGGCAAGACCACCGATAGCGAAGTAAAATTTCATAGCTACGAGTTAGAGGTTTTAGCAATTATTAAGGCGTTGCGAAAATTTAGAATTTATTTGATAGGTATACCGTTTAAAATTGTAACAGATTGTCAGGCGTTCGCGCAAACAATGAAGAAGACGGACGTCTGCACGCGGATTGCACGATGGGCTTTGTTCCTGCAGGATTTTCAATATGTTGTCGAACATCGGCCCGGAAAGAGTATGCGACATGTCGATGCGCTCAGTCGAAATGCATTGCCAACTGCAATGCTCATAACGGAATGTCAGGAGGGCATCATTGCAAGGCTGCAAAAAAATCAAGCAGAAGATGAGGAGTTGGTAGGCATCCGAGACCAAGCAATAGGTAACCAAGCGGAGGGATACGTTATCAAAAATGGACTTTTACACAAGAAGTTGAACGGAGATACGCTAATTGTAGTTCCAAAGCTAATGCAAAACAATATTATACGACAAGCTCACGAGCGTGGCCATTTCGGTCCAGACAAAACGGAGAAGCTGCTAAAGATGAATTATTGGTTCAAGGGAATGCATAGTAGGATCGAAAAGATTGTCCGAAATTGTATTAGCTGTATTCTGACTGAGAGAAAATCTGGAAAACAAGAAGGCTGCTTACATCCTATCCCAAAAGGTGAAAGTCCGCTAGATACGTATCACGTGGATCATTTGAGTCCCCTGCCGTCTACACAAAAGAAGTATCGTCATTTATTCGTAGTAATCGATGCTTTTACGAAATTTGTCTGGTTATACCCCACGAAATCCACAAGCGCAGCCGAAGTATTAGACAGATTGACGCAACAGAGCGCTGTTTTCGGAAATCCGAGAAGGATCATTTCTGATCGAGGAACGGCTTTCACTGCGCATGACTTCGAAACTTATTGTAAAGACGAAAATATTGAGCATATCACTGTCGTTACCGGAGTCCCACGAGGAAACGGGCAAGTTGAGCGGATTAACCGTATTTTGATTCCAATGTTGACAAAATTGTCAGCACCGAATCCTGCTCAATGGCATAAATATGTAATGAGAACTCAGCGATATCTAAATAGCGTACCTTCGAGAAGCACAGGCGCATCGCCATTTTATCTTTTATTTGGCACGCCAATAAAGACGAAAGAAGATCTCATACTTAAGGATCTTCTTGAAGAAGAAGAAGCTGCGGCATTTTTAGAGAAACGTAGCGAAACGCGACGACAAGCAAAAGAAGCAATCGCTAAAATTCAGGAAGAAAACAAACGGAGCTATGACAGAAAGAGAAAAGCACCAAGTATATATAAGGAAAATAATTTGGTTGCCATTAAACGGACACAAGGCGGACCTGGTCTGAAGTTTGCTGCGAAATATTTTGGTCCATATCGGATTAAACGAGTTCTTCGGAATGATAGATACATAGTGCAGAAGATTGGCGAAGGAGAAGATCCTCGTATGACATCCTCGGCGGCGGATCACATGAAGCCTTGGAGCGATTCTTCTGAAGACGCTGTTTTGGAATAGACATCTGAGGCCAGAAGTCGACGGATGGCCGAGTGTGGGATGGAGCACGGCTTTCTGTCCGCTCCACCCGTTATATTGTTTTGCGAGGATTTTCGACGGACCTTGGCGATGCCCGTGAAAACTCGGGCGTGTTGACGCGATCGCGAGCGACCCGGCAGTCGGGAAAAGACCGTGCGAGCGAACACATAAAAAAGATCGTGACGACTGCCGTCGAGGCCAAATATATATATATATATTCATTCCTTCAAAATTCTGTATTCGCGTAAATCCCAATAAATATCTTTATTACATTTTATTTGTGGAAAAACAACCATTTCTGGATTTTCCATCGAACCTAATCAATTCATATCCCACATATACATATATATACATATATATAGGATAATATTTACTTAGATACAGAAAAGATTTAATCTAGGGCGTTATTTACTTAGCTACAAAAAGTTTATGGAAATCAAGATGAAGAATTTACAGGTATCTTTTCTCGATAGCGATAGGAATTTTATATTTTCTCTGTAGTCAGATTTAAAAATTATATCATTTATATTGTTTAAAAAATTCTCCTTTTACATAATTTTTATTATTCTGCGCATGCATTTTTCTCCCTACTACTTTATTGTTTAAAAAATTCCTCTTCCACATTAAAAATTATATCGTTTATATTGTTTAAAAAATTCCCCTCCCACATTATTTTTATTATTTTACGCATGCATTTTCTACCTATTACTTTATTGTTTAAAAAATTCCCCTTTCACATTAAAAATTATATCATTTATATTGTTTAAAAAAATTCCCCTTCCACATAATTTTTATTATTCTGCGCATGCCTTTTCTCCCTACCACTTTTCTATTTTATCTTCCTTCTTATAAATTTTCTTGAAAATCTTCGCTCACTCGTCTTTCATCGTCCGAACTTTCAAGTTCGTTAGTAAAAAAAGTTTGTTAGTAAAAAGTTCTCGATTTTTCGATTTTACCGCGTCTTTGATTATTAAATCTTTGATTTTCTACGCGGTAGTAACTACCATGAACAATCATAAGAAAATCGAGCAACAACCGCGCATGTTGTTGTCAACAACATACGGATTGAATTCATCCTACACGAAGAAAATTCAAGTGGGTCTTATGACGGAAGACAACGTTAAACTGAATTTTCTGTCTGCTGTTAAATTAACATCTCACGGAGCTGCAGGGATTTGCTTCGACATGGAATTGTGGCAAAAATTTCAAGAAAACATGGAAATGATGTCGACCTACTTAAGCGGTGGTAATAAAATTAATTTGAGCTTGATTATCTTTAACAAGATAATTATAAATTTCACTACATATGGTGCTAGAGCCATACTAATAACGTATCGTGAAAACGAGCAAGAAGATCTTTCTTTCGAAACTGCGGAGGATGCGAACGCAAACGGACCGAAGACGAAGAAACGTAAAACTTACAACATTGCGATAATCATGCAGAGAACGACTTTTCAAGGTGTAGAAATTATAGTTGATTGTTTGAAGGCTAATTTAAATCGCCTAAATTTTATTTCAATTAATGTCGACGAATGTGCTCGATATTTAATTAATGAAATACAGTTTAATCTTTCTGTCAGAGGTAGCATCAGTAGCAATATCGTGAAACTCACGATCAGAGGTAACAGTAAGGAAATAGAACGTAATGTACGTACCCAGCTAAAAGATTTAACTTTTTTCGATGTATACTTTGAGATAACATTTTTAGAAATAATTTCACTTTATTTCGAACAAATTGTACATGCAATCATAGCAAAACGTAAATTTTAATAATTATTCGACGAATATTTTCTTGAAATGTTTGTGAATAATTTTGTTCTGTAAAAAAATTTTAAATATAAACCATATTTGTACTTTTAAAAACCGTTCGATTTTCTTTCACTTCCTCTTTCCAGAAATTTCCTCAACGTGTATGTTCCTGTTCACCTTTATTAAGCCGCGCGTTATTTTTAAATAAAATTTTATTTATCATTTTTTCAACAATAAGCATTCTTTCTAATCTACGATGATGTATTATTTTTACCGCGACACGAGTCAGTATGCTCGCCTGAACAGATATTTGCCTGTTCTTTTTTTATTGCCCTACGGCATCGTCAGCCACTACCTGCCACCGGTAGTTGATCCTTGTTCGACCGTATGATGCTTTTCTTGGTCAAACTGTTTTTACCCCACCCCGTCCAATATCGGCCATTTGATTCGACGAGCTATCCTTGCCAAACGTATACCCGAACCCTCATACCATACTCTACGCAACTTTAGCTTAAATGGCTCATCTAATCCTTAGACTAGTAAGATCTCGTTTAGCTCAGCATACTAGGACCCTGCTCGGAAACGCGAAGGTCCCGGGTTCAAATCCAGAGAAAATTTAGAAAAAATAAAAAAATTCTCATCCCTCTCCTCTCCCGCTTTTTGGGGCCAGTCGCCATTTTTTTTCCCCACAACACCCGTAGTCGGAAAAACCAGACGCTGGTGGTGGGGAAAAGATAAGCCACGCCCACGCCGCCAGAGGGGCCGGTGGTGGGGGTTTGTTTTGACGGGCCATACCTGCCACTATACTACTCACTATATTTTAATATACATATAAATCAATTCCTTAATTACAATATTCTACATAAAAAATTATAAGGATAAGATGCAGTAAAAAGTGAATAATTTATCAAGGATAGAGAATAATTTATGTTATATTTTATATTTTATTTGACATAAAATATGTTACATCAACTGTATAAAATATCTCATAAAATATTTATCTTTCGATATGGTCTTACCTTAATATCCCAAGTAGCAAACCTTACCTTAATATCCCAAGTAGCACTACCTGGGATACATTTATGTACAAAATAATTAAAGAATCAATAAGTGTGTCAAAGAAAACACATATATGTATATATTTAATTGTTTTTAACAAAAATATATAACTATTAATTGTAAATTATTACAAACTGGATATCCCAGGTATAGCAAGCTGTCGAATGACGTCATTTTGACGTCAGCTTGCTACCTGGGATGATTTCCAAATATTTGTCTCTGTTAATATTAAAATAAATTATCTTGGAAATAATGTACGAAAGAAAACATGGTAGATATTTTATAGAGAACTGATCAAAAAATTATTCAAAATTTAGACATTCAAACAGCAGAATGAACAGGAGAAGCGTCGCGAAAAAATACATATGATTGAGTTGCAGCAACTACAAAATGAACAATCGATACAGGAAGATCGTTTATGTGAGATTCTCAATTCTTTGGAAGGGAAAACAATCTGTGGGACATTAGATTTTCTTAGCAAAGTAAGTTTTTGCAGTTTTATGTAATTGAAATAATTTATTGCTATTAAAATAATTATCTCCTTTATCTTCAGGAACTAGTGAGATTAGAGGATGAACGTAAGACTCATGCTTTTGCTTTACTTGCCGAAAGAGAAAGATGTATGAGGGAAGCTGCTGAGGCTGGTAGGCGACAATTAGAACGTAATCGACGACGAGAATTCGACGAAATGTTTAAACAAATTGTCAAAGTAAATCAGGACTCGATAGAAGCTTATTTGGAAGACATTATAAGGGAAGGTGTTGAATGGATGTCTGATAAAACAGCCAAAGAACATGTCTTACAGCTTTATAAAGTGAATGACATATCAAAACATGAAAAGTGAGATTGGTGACTGATAAATATATAAACATATACAGGGAAGGGTAAAAGTTCCGGAACGGCAAAATATTTCAGAAAATGTTTCAAATAAAAAGAGTAATTTCAAAGTCTTATATAACTCGAAAAGTGCTGAAAAAATATTTTATTTTTTGGAAAGGTCTCGACATCAGCTACAAGAATATGGAATACCCCCTATAAAAAATAGGGGGTTTTATTTAAAATTTCATGGTGACCTTGACCGGATTTCTTAAGGTCAAATCATCTTAAAATCAAACAAATAACATTACCAAATAGTTTTTTAAGCCCTACTCTTTTTGTTTCAAACAATTTTTTTATTAAATCAATATTCTCTGAAAGATTTTGCTGTTCCAGAACTTTTGCCCCTCCCTGCATAAGTTATACATAGTAACATATAAAAGATAGCAAAAAATATTTTCACAGCATGGATAAGTTGACAGAAAAGGAATTGGTAACGGATATGATCTATAATTTTGTTTTACCTGAAGTGGAAAAACACAATGTGAGAAAAAACATTTGTGATAGACAACAAAGTTATATGCGAAATGCATATATATCAGTTTACGAGAAAATTTTAAATTTGCCATTTATTGAACCATCAAATCGAAAACTATCATCAAATCAAAAAGTTTGTATAAAAATTAAACAATATTATATATATATATATATATATATATATATCCCAGCAAACACAAATGTTATAGTAATATAACATAGCTATAAATGAATTTTGGAAATAATCGACCAAATTAGCACGTAAAATCGTTTATTTAATTTCACAACGTTTTGACCATATGGTTGTGGTCCTTTCCAAGTGCAACTACAATAATTATTAAACATATTATTATTATCATCAACGAAACACTAATATAAAGTTCACAAATAAAAGCGCACGTAATACTTACAAGTAAAAATAGTAATATTTAACTCATCATAAAGCAACAATCAATCTCAATTTATAGTGAAATATACAAGTCAAAATTAAAACTAAATTGAAATTGTGACACAGCCATAACATATCCCAACCAAGGATCGTCAGAATCTAACATTTTAAGTGAGATTATTTACACGACCTTAATTATTTTATTATATATATCGTTAAGACTCTCTATATCCCTCTGTGAGTTTATGTTGTTGTTTAGTTTTTTAATATAAAACATTTCGGCTATCTCTCCCTTTCTCATATGTTTTTCCGTGTGTAAGACGTTAAATCTATTCCACTCAAAATCATGTTCAAATTCAGATCAATGTTTACTTATAACCGAATGAACTATGATGTAATTTAATATTATTACAATGTTTCTTAACAATTTTACATGCTAGTTTGGTCGATTATTTTCAAAATTCATATTTAATACTAGTGACTGTCATTAACAACTGGGAATTTATAGATGTAAATGTTACATTGTAACATAACTATTACATGTACTGTAACATTTATGTTTGCTGGGATATATATATATATAAAGATATATATAAGATATAAAGGAGATAATATATATATATATATATATATATATATATATATATATATATATATATATATTATAATCGATTCTGATAAAGTTGAGATTGACAATTTATTACACTATTTTTTATATAAAAATATACATTATTTGTTTCTTTATATACAGGTACTAGATATTGATGAGGCAAAAGAAATAGAATTTCCATCCCACAAGATAGATACGGAAACACATAAGAAATCAAACTAAATTTAGAAATAAATTGACAAGTCATATTTTAATGGAAATTCAATAACTGGTATTTTAATCTAAAAAAGCTATTTTTAAATCTTATATACTCTGGTGAAAATAAATTTACAATTTTTCACGCAAAATTATGTGAAAACTATGATTTTTTATTATATTTAATTACAAGTTTTTGAATTATTTCAACGTAATTTTTACGTCAAATCTACAAGATTTGGGTCATATTTGTAGTTTTCGATATGTAAAAAATTATGATTTTCTACAATTACATTACGTAATTTAGTTGTAGAAAATTACAACTTCTTTTTCTTTTTAATCTATTTTTGACCCAGTCAAGAAGGTGACTTTCGGCCATCAGCGGGTTGGGTAGATAAATCTTCGTGCCCGTATTTCAGTCACATACAAGTACTCGTTTAGATGTGTTGTCGACTAGAGGAATAAAAGGAGAGAGCAATTAGACTTTTATTTGTATCGATTTGAAAAAGGAATGTATGGCCTGGATTATGTCCGGGATGAGTTTGCTCTGGACATAATCCAGGCCATACATTTCTTTATTTTAGAAATTAATAATTTGTTAATATCTGTGTGGGTTTTAATCTTTAATTTGTTAAGTATGGATATTAATGAAGGTCTTTGATGATCGTATGTTGGACACGTCCAAAGTATGTAGTTATCCCATCTTGAAAAGGGTTTCCACAAAGGCAACTTGGATTAGAGACGATCTTGCATCGATAAAAACTTTTATTGAGATTGTAGTGGTTCGAGCGTAGTCTGCAACAGATGGTGATAGCTTCTCTTAATAAATTTTAGTACTCATAGAACCAAGATTTCATTTTAAATTTAGTAAAATAGCGGAAGTAAGCAGTCCCTTTTTTATTGGCCAACAGTTTCAAATAGCTGGTCGTGTGTGAGATCATTTCCTTCTTAATTAGACTGTGTAGATCAGAGTACGGGATGAGTCCCATACTTCACAACATCCGTAATAGCATTTTTAGTTTGAAGGTCCGCGGTTTTGTTTCCAAGAATACCACAATAAGAGGGAATCCATATGATTTTAACCTCTAGGCCAGCTTTTTTCGATATGTATAATTTGGATTTAATTTGGTGAATGATATAGTTATAGTATTGACCCAAATTTTTTGAGCAGAGAGCTTGGACCACGCTGCGCGAATCCGTGAAAGTCACCGCTCGGGCAATGGAGTTGTCAAGGATGAAATGGAGTTGTCAGGATGAAAATTATAGGGCTTGGCAAACGCTTCTGCCGAAAAGACAGAGCAAAGGGAGTACGTTTTAAATTTTAAATGTAAGTTAAGGGAGGGGAGGTAAATGGCAAATCCTACACGTATTCTTCTTCCGAGATTTTAGACGCGTCGGTAAAGAATAAGTGATTATAAAGTATATAATTCGTTATATAATATTTTAAAATATTAGTTGGGGGAATGGGGACTATCTCTAATAATACTTTCCGCGTCAGCAGAAAAAGTGAATTTAGCAAATATTGGGAATACATTCGTCCAGTAATCAATAGAATAAAATGAAGAGTAGGTGGAGTTCGCTATTAAGTGTTTATATTTAAGGAGATTGCGAAAACACTTAAAAAGGAGATATGTTTCCGAGGGGTTTTTCTTTTTTGAGTTGATGGAACATATGTTTAAGTAGCATAGCTTATCTATAGTAATATGATCATCTAGGCTGAAAGCTTTTAGAACATATTTGGAGGTGAGATATTGAAATCTAAATTTCAAAGGAATTTCACCAGCTTCAGCAAGTAGAATGTTAGTAGGTGTAGTTCTACACATTCCTAAGCATTTTCTGAGAGCCCTGAATTGAATCTTTTCAAGTTGTTGGATTAAAGAAATCTTATTAAATGGGAAACAGGAGCAGCCATATTCTAAGGAGCTTCTAATGAGAGCTCTGTAAATATGTAGTAGGATATGTAGTAGGATAATATGATGAAGCACCCCACTAGGTTCCCACTAACATGCCAATGATATTAAGTAATTTAGAGCATTTATTGCTAATGAATTTTATATGTTCACATTCCCAGACAAGTAATAGTCAAAATATAATCCAAAAAATTTGCAGGCGGAAGAAGATCGAATATTAACATCACAAATTGAAATAGAAAATGAGCAGGGATTCACATGTTTTTTGGTAAAGACTAAGAGAGTGGATTTTAAGAGTAACACAGACAAGCCCCTAGACATGAGGAAGGATGAGACGCGACTGGTGGCTGACTCGAGCTTCTTGATAGAGCTATGAATAAGGTGGGAGGTGTGAAACATGACTAAGTCATCTGTATATTGAAGAATTTTGCAATCATTACCAATTTGTTTTTTGAGTTTGGCAACATAAATGTTAAAGAGAATTGGACTTAAAATAGAGTCCTGAGGAACTCTATTTTGTAGGAATGGTATATGTTAAAGAATTCTCCATTATTATTTTAAACGCTTCTACATTGGATAAGATTGTGTATAAAGTGGCAAAGGTTAGGGGGAGACCAAGTTCCAGTAGATCCTTGATCAAGATGTTCGGAATGATATTATCGAAGGCACTATGGTAATATCTAAAAATAGATATACTGAGGCTCCTCCTTTTGAAAAGGCCGAATGTATTTCTGTTGTGAGAGTCGTAATATTGTCTTGACAAGATCTGAAAAATCGAAATCCAAATTGCGATTTGGGGAGCTTCAAATTATGTTCAAGTCACCAGTCGAGTCTACGTAATATAAGCTTTTCAAGTATTTTCAAACAGCAGGATGTTAGAAAAATAGGTCTGAATTTTCTAGGAGTAGATTTGGGCATCATAAATATTAGAGTGTTTCCAAGAGTCCGGAAAAAGGCCTGACGTAAAAAATTGAGAAAAGTAATAGTTGATAAGAGTGCGGAAGTTGGGAAATGATATGATAATCAATCTGGTCAGCCCCCGGGGCTGACTTTTTTTAACAGAGTGTAGAATTTGAAAAAATTCATTGAAGTGTCAAAGTATTTACAAGTATAGTTCGTATTCTGAGGGTGCCGTCACATGAGGCGTAGCTTGCGTACGCGTAACTTGCGGTAACTTACGCCGACCAATCACATCGTCTCATTTCAGTATCAGCTTCTGTCTAGTTATTTTATGCTTTGTACGCTATTATTGTTACAACAAATTCAATATCTGGCGGAAGAAACGCTGATGCGTATTTGTAAAAAAAAACATAACTCCATTTGTGCGTTCTTCTGCCAAAGACTAAAGACAGAGAAGAAGTTAATTTTAATCTATCCATACCTATACATTAATAAGATGAACAAGAATAATCAAATAAGGGTAAGTTAACAAAAATCTAATTTATTATATAAGCTTTAATAGCGTTCGATTAAAAACAGTCTACTGCTCACGGCATGTGATACAAAATTTCAAGTTTAAATTGTATATTAGTAGGTCTTCGTACTTTTTGCATTTGAAATCTGTTTTCTCTTTCTCTAATATTTAACATATATTGATTTCTTGTTTTACATGCATGAATTTTTGAGAATTTTGAGCAATATGAACATCATAATGCATTATTTTCTACATTGCATGTTTGAATCTTTTCAGCACAAATGCGGGTATTGTGGATGGCTGTTCCAATTTTCTACTAATTTTGTCGAGCATGAATGCTTCAAGCATTATGTGGAAGATAAGGATCGCATTGTTGTAGATTAAAATTTTGTCGTGACAATATGTTATAACAGTACGAGGGCAGTCCGATAAGTACTTAGCCTCATCGCCCGATGGTGCCAGTATCGCAAGAAAGTTTGACTATCGTGTAGTACATTCTTAGACGGCTACTGTCAAAATTTCAGCCGAATCGGACTCGTAGTTTTGTTTTGACCGCGTGTGGAAGCGGGCGTGTCCGCGGATTTTAGAAAAATGAAAAAAGAGCAATATCGGTCGGTGATTCGATTCTTGTTTTTGGAAGGGAAATCGCGCAGCAAAATCAAAGATGTCGAAATGAAGAATCTTTGATTTCGCTGCGCGATTTCCCTTCCAAAAACAAGAATCGAATCACCGACCGATATTGCTCTTTTTCCATTTTTCTAAAATCCGCGGACACGCCCGCTTCCACACGCGGTAAAAAAAAAACTACGTGTCCGATTCGGCTGAAATTTTGACAGTAGTTGTCTACGAGAATGTACTACACGATAGTAAAACTCTCTTGCGATACTGGCACCATCGGGCGATGAGGCTAAGTACTTATCGGACTGCCCTCGTATGTTTACTACATTCTTTGCATATATTTTGTTGTATCATTTTATTGTATTGTTGTGTGCCTCAGGTAAGGCACAAGGGGTCGCGCCAAATTGGGATGAGGATCCGAAGCGTCAGGACTTATTTCGGGTGTATTTAATGAACACACGTCACTTTTTATTATTAAAACACTTTTATTCCAATTACCGCTTGACTTTTCTTTATTTCAACACTGTTACACTTGTGTGTATATCTGTTTAGTGGCACTATTTAACTATAACTTTGCGTATCGCGCGCGACTGCGAAAAGATGTTAAAGATCGCACGCGGCTAGCGAGGTCGTTTAATTAACGACTCGAGATTGACTTCGGAGCGACTTGGGAGCGACTTAGCGACTGACGCGAGTCTCTTGCTCTGTTTTTATAATATCGCTTTTTGGAATTTCCTTGATCGGAAGGGGTGCCTGGCAACAGGCCCCCTCGGTCAAGGACCTAGGTGCAAGCGAGGTAAATTCAAAGTCCTTCTGCTTTGCTTGCACGTTGGGCAATTTCGATGCCGCGTATATCTCGCCGCGTATGCGTTTTTACGCGGTCAGTGTCCGTCGTCAAGCGGATGCAATATGAGTAGTTATTTCTTAATAGTAGTTATTTCTTAATAGTTATATCTTTTAAGGATATAACAGTATTATAGTAATTAAATGTATTTATTTATTTAATAATCCAAGAGAATGCAAAGACTGCGGAAGGGCCTACAGATACTTTGAATGAACTCTTAATCGAAGCAGTGAGAGCAAGGAGGGGATTGTACGACTATCGCATACCAGCAAATGAAAGGACCAATTTGCGGAAAAATGCATTGTGAATGGAAGTGTCTAACACTCTAGAAGGTACTATTAATATCTCTTGTGAACACATGCAAATATTTTATACATTATAATTAAATAAATTAAATTTTTAGGAGCTTTTAATCCAGAGGAGGCAAAGGCCCGTTGGAAATATTTAAGAGATAATTATACTAAAGCGCGTAAAAAGATTAAAGATTATGTTCCTAGTGGATCGACTGCTAGTGGACAAAAGAAATCCAAATTTCGATTTTATGACATAATGAAATTTTTAAATGACTTCCTTGAGACACGGCAGTAAGTTCTTTTTCTTCAATATGCAAAAATGTGTCACTCTTTTTTTTGTCAATTTGTCAAGGCAAATAGATATAGAAAACAATTTTTCATGTCCAATACCCTCATGTAGGATGTTATATGTATATATAAACATACATTTATTTCAGGACTGTGAGCTCATTGCCAAACGTTGATGAAAAATATGGAACATTTGAGTCATACGAGGATGATACCAATAGTTTACCTTCAATGCAGACTACCATTGATGTTTCACCAATACTGACTCCCACTTGTGTTCCTTTACGAACGCCTACACCAACTCTCATTCCTCCAAAGACCTTAATACCTAAAAGCGTCTCTCCACAAACGCCATTCAGTACTTCGCGAATATTGGCGACAAATGAGAAAAGTTAGTATATTTTATATAAAACACGATATACCGATCTAATATTCTTAATATTCTTATCATTAGTATATTTTGCTTCAATTTCCTTTGATGATAATAACTACTGTAAAACGTATTTGGAATTTTAAAAAAATATATTATTAGAATAAAAATTTTAGTTAAGAATAAAATAGTTTATTTACAATATAAAGATTATTAATAATTTAATTTAAATATCAAAATTTTAATAAATTAAAAAATAAATATAATAAATATAATAATTAACAAATTTTAATAAAATGTACATTATTTATCAAACAATATAATCATTGTACATTATTTATGTTTTATTTATATATATATTTGTATATATATATATATATATATATATATACAAGGTAGTCAAAAAGTATCGGACCCCCCTAATATTTCCGTTCCCTTGCATTTTACAAGAAAATGTTTCAGACAAAAGTTGTAGGGTTTAAAAAGATCTATTTACTGATCTTATCAGTTTGACCTTGGATGGCGTCGCCAAGGTCAGATCGAAATTACATTAACTTTTTTAAACGGAACACCTAACTTTTTATTGCATATTCTTGTAGCTTATCTCGAGACCTTTCCAAAACACTACAAGAAAGTTTATTTTTGTTGAGTACTTTCCGAGTTGTGAGGCTTGAAAGCTACAGTGTACTGTAGTGTGGGTCCAGCCAGTTAAGGCAAGAGTGGCGTGTGGGTCCGGCCTGCTGGACCCACACGGTACTCTTGCCTTAACTGGCTGGACACACGCCACACTTGCCTTAACTGGCCGGACCCACACGCCACTCTTGCCTTAACTGGCTGGACCCACACTACAGTACACTGTAGCTTTCAAGCCTCACAACTCGGAAAGTACTCAACGAAAATAAATTTTCTTGTAGTGTTTTGGAAAGGTCTCGAGATAAGCTACAAGAATATGCAATAAAAAGTTAGGTGTTCCGTTTAAAAAAGTTAATGTAATTTCGATCTGACCTTGGCGACGCCATCCAAGGTCAAACTGATAAGATCAGTAAATAGATCTTTTTAAACCCTACAACTTTTGTCTGAAACATTTTCTTGTAAAATGCAAGGGAACGGAAATATTGGGGGTCCGATACTTTTTGACTACCCTGTATATATATATATATATATATTTATTACAGAAAATAGTACATAATTAATAAAATATCAAATAGCGCAAACATACCAATAAAAATGCATCAGCTGATAGTCCGCTAATACATTCTTATAAATAGACTTTGATCAATCATGCATTTACCATGATTCACAACGTCTTGAACGCCAGATTGCAAAGGGTGATTTCAGCGTAGCTGGGAATAATCGCAACAGCATCACCTGTTGCCATATCCTGTGGAATATTCAAATATACAATAGTTATAACATTATGAATTAGAGAGGACATATGTTGTACAAATTCTTGAAAAATTGTATCATTAATTAATTGAAAAACAACGAGTTGTCACTGATCTGAACGGACAGACGTTGTTGATTGTAAAACGCCACAAACGTACTGGTT